AGAACAATTCCCAGAAGTTTCCACCTATTCAATTTAAAGTCAATAGACTTTGTTAGAAAAATTTTGTCTTTTTTTCTGAAAGCATCATGAGTCATTCAGTCAGTCAGCAAATATACACTGCATATTTACATATGCCAAGTACTCTATGGACTACAAAGACAGCTCAAAAATATGATTCTTACCTTAAAGAGTTACAATCAAAGGGAGCAAGCGGTAAGACACGTGCCAAAAAATCTCCAAGAATGATAAAAGTGTCTTATAAATGAAACAAACTGCTCTAGGAACAATCTGGGAGGCCAGGGTTCATGTTCTAGTAGCAGATATGAAAAGGAGAGACTGATGAAAGAGGTAGACTCTGGGCTGAGAAATGAAGGATAAAGAAAAGTTCCAATATTAGAATTAGGTCATGGAGGACATTCTGAGAAAAGGAATAGCATGAACAGAAATAAGAAGGTGATGAAGTGTAATGTATGTTCCAGGAAGAGCGAGTATTTCAAATGGGGACAGAGCATGGCGTTTTTGTAGAGGGCAAGTGAGTAAAAAGGCTAGAACTTAGGCTGGGGTCAGAGTGGAGGAGATTTTTAATGCCATGCTGAGGAGTTTGAATTTTACTGTATAGGTAATGAAGTACTACCAACAACTTATGAACAAAAGAATAACCTAAGTAAATGGTACTTTAGAAAAATTAATCTGGCAGTGATAAACAAGAAAGATCTGAATGGGATAGTTGAGAGGCAGTTAGAAGGTGACTGCAATAGTTCTAGTAAAAGAGGAAGGGCAGTGAACTGAGGTGGAAGTAACAGAAATAGAATCCTTTATATGATAAGGCAATTTTACAATTTTTTTTGTATTCTTATGTACTTCATGGGAATTTCATATATATTAACTACCCGAATCAAGCCAAGGGGCCTCATCACCTGACAGGCTACAAAGGTCTATAAGAAAAAGTTATTCCATTCCAAAATCTGTACCCCCGAAGGGTTATCTGAGGCACAATCACATACCAAATGAAAGGGTAGGGTTTATCCTCCAAAAGATACAATCTAGTTACTAGCAGCCCTAGAAGGTTCACATTAATTCTATGCTAACATTTAACAATTCTCTTGGGAAGTGACAAACAATCATGCTTTGAGGACAAATATTTTTTGCATTTTTTTTCTTTCCATCATCTTTATCAGTGCAGATATTTGCATGAAAACGGGATCACTGGTCCTTGGGGATTCATCAGCTCCTACTGCTTATTTTTCATCCATGTCATCCTCTCAATTAATGCAAGAAAGAGGATTGAGACATCGAAACACCAGATTAGGGTGTCAAGTAAAAGCCAACCCCTAGAGCAGATGAATAATATGCAAGGAACAAAAAAGATCTTGTTTTTATGCAAATACACGATACACAATAAAACAAACAGACACTGTATCCAGGAAGTCCAATACATATCAATGTAATTCTTTTGAATTCTAAATTTAAAAATTGTTTTCTATATGCCAGCTAAATTCACTATGGTCAAGGAAAATGACACTTGCTTGCAAAGCATTGCTACAGATGTTGAAATAGGGCCAAATTTTGACTAGAAGATAATTCTGAAAAATCTCAGCTGTGCTCACATGACTGATTTGGAAGAAACAAGCATTTCTGTTCCAGAGTTTTGGTTTGGTGCTTCAGGTGGTTGGGTTAGATGACTTCAAACCCCTACCCCCAAAACTTTTAAGTTTTTGGAAATACAAACACTGAACAGTAATAATGGCTTTAACTGTGTTGATTAAAATAATGATAATAATAAATAACACCAAATTTTTTATTCTGTGGAAACCCATTAAAATAGACTTTATTGATGCTCAGGGAACTGACTCACTATTCCAGAAACTGATAAATAAAGAGAAAGAATCATTTATCCTGCCATCTCAGTAAGAACCGTTTCCAAGGTAACCAAATAGTTGATGAGATAAAGTCCTTTACAGAAAAATTCTATCCAATAGGAAGGAATGACAGAATTAGAATATCTCCAATTTGTAACCTCTAACAAAATAATGCATCTAGGCAGTGATCATAGGTGGCTAAAATCCTGAGTGTAAGGCTGATTAAGAATTTTATAATGAATGAATCAGGCTGATAATACCTTTACCAATGAATTAATCTTAATATTACAAATCACAAAAAGAGACAAGCAGACATGTACTTTCTGATGAATGCACACACCATCTATGAAATATTTCTTGCCAAAAAAAAAAAAAAAATCAAGCCTGTATCTGAGGGAGCCTGTAGATTTAACTATCAGGAAATAAAAAGGGTTAGAGGAACATGTTAAGTACTACCACAGGGATGTAATCAATGAAATCCAGAATGTGGAAAATGGCAAGAAGGGGAACTATTACAGATTAAAAGAGACTGAAGAGACATATCAGTCAAATGCAGCAAATGAACCTTGTTTAGATCCTGATTCAAACCAACTGTATAAAGACATCTATGCATCTGCCAGTAGAATCTAAACTCTGACTGGATAGTTGATGATATTAAGCAAATTTGTTAAATTTTTTTAGTTGTAATAATGGAATTGTAGTTACATTTTACAAAAAAAAACCCAGTAAGTCCTTGTCTTTTGGAAACGCATCTGAAGTTATTTGGAAATAAGGTGATGTGGTAGCTGGGATTTGCTTTAAAATAATTATGGGAGGTTGGTATGGATGAAGGAGCCCTGGTGGTGCAGTGGTTAAAGTGCTTGGTTGCTAACCGAAAGGTTGAACCCACCAACTGCTCCGCGAAGAGAATGATGTGGCAGTCTGCTTCCATAACGATTTCAGCCTTGGAAACCCTATGGGGCAGTTCTATCCTGTCCTATGGGGTCTCTATGAGTTGGAATCAACTCGATGGCAATGGATTTGGTTTTGGGTTTTTTTTGGGTATAGGTGAAACAAGATTGGCCATATGCTGATTACTGAAGCTGGATCATGGGTACATGAGGTGATTATTCTATTCTCTCTACTTTGGTATATGTTTAAAATTTTCCAAAAAATAAGTGGAAAAAAATACTTTATTGCCTTTCTCAGTAGGAAGGCAGAAAGAGAAAAACTAAATAATCAGAGGAAACATAGCAATTTCAGCTACAAATAACTACAGATAACAGTGTTGATAAACACATTTGGTAATATAACATCTTCTTGACATAACAAGCATAAAAATGTATTTCATTAAAAAAATTGACAGGGAGATTAAGGAATGATCATTCTATGCATTTATTAACCAAACCTAGAAAGGGAAGACCCTCAATGAGATGGACTGACACAGTGGCTGCAACAATGGGCTCAAGTATAACGATTGTGAGGATGGCGCAGGACCGGGCAGTGTTCCGTTCTGTAGTACACAGGGTCGCTATGAGTCAGAACCAACTTGATACCAAACAACAACAACAGAAAGGGAATCAAGAGGTGCTATACTACACAAGCCTACAGTACATCCTTATATTTGTAAATTTAATATTCACAGATTTGCCTTTTCATTAAAAACCCTAGAGGTTCATGACATACATGGTAATTAGTAATTTTGCCAAGGTATAAACTTTAATCACAAGAAATAAGTGTCCAGTATTCAGAGAGTTTGGAGGCAGTGAGTGAACCTAGCAGACTACCTAGCAACCATATGTCACAGCAGTTTGCTGTTCTCCACTCTTTGATTGCTATTCTCCACTCCTTGATTCCTAAAGTAACTAAAAAATGTTTTCTTGGTAAAAGAAAGCCAACTACTGATGACAGTAATGAAAATAAAGGAAAAATAAAGAGGGCTAAAGAAGTGATTACAGTCAAAAATCAGAAGTTGTAGGTTAAATTGTAAAATAAAATGTTGAATTTGGCAGTCAGTAACTCAGGTCAATGATGTAAACAAGTCTCCTATGCTCCATAAATAAACAAGATAATTCACAGAACTATGTTTAGGATTGTTCCAATCAGGGCAAAACTTGCATTTTTAAAGAAAATTATAAACTACAGTAGTACTCTCAAAACTAGGGATTTATGAAGGTCTCAGGATGTACACCTCAAGAACAAGGTTCTAATCACTGTATTTGTTGAATAAGTTATCTCTCCTTTCAATTACAAAGTGAGAATTTTGTACAATTCCTTTTCCAGTTTTCTAATGAACACAGTGTGGAAAAACACGCAATTTATAAAGAAATAATTTTAATCTAAAAGAGAGGACAGCAGACAGGCATAAATTAGAACTTTTAAAGCATTACCCATGGTAGCAGTTAAGTTCTTGGTCTGCCCTATATCTTTTCCTTTGGGGAACTAATCCTTTTCCAGTCCATGAGATTTGGGTGAGACTGACCCTTCCACTCTGCATTTGCACCCAGGAGTGAACCCAGGACCCAGGCCTGGTCCATCAGGGTGCTCTATGAAACCTGGCTAGAGGACGGTTCAAGGATGGGTATGTGAGGGAAGATGGAACAGTGTTTTCCCCAGATCCTTTCTTCTGGAAATCTTGTGAAAAAAAAGACTCTTTCTTCTTCTGGGTTCACGAGATTTAAAGACACATAAATTGGAACTCCTTTTGGCCACCTTACCCAGTTGCTAGGAAAAAGCTAGACTAATGCATGAATGAAGCAGAGCTTTGAGATGCAAAACAAAAGCAAAAGCAAGAGCACATCCCAATGACGTCATTAAGAATCATGGATCTAGATATCCTCGAAGCTATTTCTACCCTGGACTTGTGAGTTATATGAACTAATTAAGTCCCTCTTTCGCTTAAGCTATTTTGAGATGATGTTCTCTTAAAAGTGGAAAAGTTCCAATATGCTTTTACTGTGCAGAGAAAGAGAATTTGTTATCTAGTAAGTCCAGTAATTATCCTAGCACATTCTATTATTAAAAGGCACATTTTAGATTACATCAACTTCTTATCTTCAGAACATCTCTTTTCCCTAATAAAAATACTTTCTGAATTATAACTAGAACTCATCATGGAAAATACAATCAGTAACCCTGAATAAATATGATTTGGGTACTCACACTCATCCAGACCCAGCTGATAGGCCAGGTTCTGTAGGCCTCGTACCTTCTCCATCAAATTAGCCGTGGTGAGACTGCCCAGTTCTGAAACAGAATCATTTATTTCAATACCATTTCTTCCCACTGTTCTCTAGTAACAATTCATTTGGGTTCTCTCATAACAATTCATTTGGGTTCTCTAGTAACAATTCATTTGGGTTGGGAATCCTTGTTATAAAAGTTTTCAAGCTATTTTGCTTAATTCCTGTCAAGTAAGTAGATAATGGATCCATATCTTTCTTGTCCTGATCTTCCCCTCCAAAACAAATCAGTGAATTTTTCCATTATTACAAAATGCCTCAGATGACTTTACCCACTTGAGAAAAGAGTTAGCATAAATACAATAGCATATCAAGTGCTTTATTCTAAGGATACTAACTTATTCATTTTCATCACACTTTTTTTGACTATCATACAAAATGAATACACCATTAAAATATGAAACCCTCTGATTGGACAGAGCACTGAGAAAGCCTTGCAAACATCTCTTTCTCTATCTTGCAAAACGGACACTGTCTCCACTACCATTTACAAGTCTTATTATTACAACTGGCAATAAAACATCAAGACATATTTCCCTAAGTTCAGAAAATATAAATCCAAGCTTTCCCTTCATATAAATTCCTATAAATTTTTTTTTTAATTTAACCAGTTAAAACGACAGTTTTTTTTTTAAATCTTACTTTCCAGATTTCATTTAAGTAGCACCCAATTCTTTTTAGGTTTAAGATACAGGTTAATTTAGATGTAACATACTGCTGTGATCCCTTACTTAAAATTTAAAGTTTCTTTTAAATACATATTGATGGGATGTTATATAAATATCTGTTTGGAACATTAGAACAATGAACCTGAGACGTCCTTGAGACTTAATTTTTCCACAGCTGAATGAGGAGATTTAAGCTTCTACATTTAAGCATTTCATGCAGAATGATGAATTACTTCTGAAATCAAATAAAGGTGTTTTTTTCCTCCCACTTATCATGTCACAATCATTATATCTGGCACAAGTAGACTTTCTTGATCTGTTCAACTTCTTAAATAGCTCAAGAATCCAAGTTTTTACCTTAATTTCAGACTATTACTTTACAACCATCGTGCATCTTATCACCAGAACAATGACCAAAAAATAAAGAAGAGCAAATATCAAAGAAAATTAATGTTTTTTAATTTAAATTTCTACTTTGTGATTGAGTTCCAAATCATTTATCAAACAACTATATTCATACTTATAGTATTCTTTATGGAAGAAGCTGGTAGGCTAGAAAGAAATAAAAGATAGGTCTTAGCCCACTAAAGGGTTGTCATTTAATAGCACTAATAAAAATATATGGCAGTAAATCCTAAATAAGGCACTTGTGTTATAGAAAGAGAATTAGACCTAACATAAAAGACTAGAGTTTAAATTTTAACTCTTTCTTACAAACGTTGGTTAATCTCACCTTTGAACCTTAGATATTATCATACCTAACTCAAAGGACCTTTATGGGAATTAAATGAGAAAATTTATGTGAAAGCTTTTTGTTAACTATAAAGCTTTATACAAAAAGTTAATATTAAAGGAATTTAGCAACAGAAGAAATCACAATGACTGAGTCTTGAATTGGCAGGATTTGTACATATGGAAAAAGAAGAGAAGGCATTCTAGGCATGAAAAACTGTGAATAAGGATGGTTAAGTGAGCAGTTTCGCTGAAGCCGAGAATACTTGTAAGGAAATAATGAGACAAAAACTGGAATAGTAATGATTTGTGGAGAGGCATAAATGTCAGTTTAAAAGTTAGAGGGCATCACAATCACTTACCTTTCAACATGTCAATATCATCACGTTCTATTTCAGCCATCCATTTGGGTGGAGAGCTAGTAATTGGCTGTCAGAAAATAAGAACATATCCATTCAGATAGATACTAAGTGTGAAGAGACCCGACTCTTCCTTATAAGAAAAGTAGCCTGCCACACAGCCTTCAGGTTTGAAAACACTGGCAAATTATAATTTATAATTTCAAAAATCTGAACTTCTCCAGGTTCAGATGCCGCCCAGAAATACTCATCTTACAAAATACTACTGCTCGTCTAGAAACAAAAGTTTATTAGCAGTTACCAAGGGCTGAGGGAAGAGGGAATGAGGACTTTTTGCCTAAGGAGTACTGAGTTTCTGTTTAGGGTGATGAAAAACTTTTAGATATGGACAGTGTGACAATAGCACAACCTGATGAATGTAATTAATGTCCTTCAATTGTACATTTAAAAATGGTCAAAATGGCAAACTTTATGTTATATATATTTTACCACAAAAAAAAAATACTGCCCATCTTTAAAGTTTGTCTTGGAGACGTGATCTTGGAAGAATTGGGTGTAACTACTGTTACCGTTTCATGCATAACAGGTTAGTATACCAATGAAAGAAATTACTTGCAGTTAAGCTCTTAAAAAAGCCCCCAGTTTAACCGTTTCAAACAATAATTAGTAAGTAACCTTCTCTAGCAGAGGAGAAGATTCAAAGAATCAACAACGAGAAAATCCTCAATTTAAATGAGAGAAGTCTAGAATGGTCATTATTTGAAATTTTATAATTTTATTGTAGAAGTTTTAGAAAACTTAGGATTTTAAGTTAACTTCTCATTTCTAAAAATGAACTGATGAAATATGAGAAAGAGCCCTTTCTTAGAATAGCTTTAGGTCAGCAGTTTTCAATTGTGCTTACACATCAGAATCACCTAAGCAACTAAAAAAATACAAATAGCCTAGTGTGCTGCCAACTGCACTATTAAAGGGGCAAGGTGGGCAACCCCGCCCCACCTTATTGATAACTGTGTGGTAAGAATCAACATGAATCCAATTGCCATTTGGAAGGGCACCCAGGCTTCACCTTCCCACATCTCCATTCCTCGTCACCAGCCACTTTTGTGGCACTTCCTCTCTCACCCTAACCACACAGAGTTAGGTCAGAATTCATCTCTGGCCAACCTGTGCCATGTCAAAACATCCCTGGACACCTGGGGCCACGTCATTGGGTACCAGGACTCAGGAATCTGCACAACTCCCTGCACTTCAGACCAGCTAGTTTCCTTCTCTCTTCCTCTAGCACCCTGGGGCTAGGTCACAAGCTAGGACTCTGTCCTTCTTTGACTGCCCATGCAGCCTTTCTCTGTCACCCAGCTAGGCAAAGCTGAGTCTTCACGGATCGACTGCCTGCACAGCCCTCCTCTGGCTGCTAGCCACCCAAAGCTGTTTCCTCACAAGTTAGGACTCCGTCCTTACAATTGCCTGTGCAGCCCTCCTTGAATTAGCCACCCCAAACTAAGAGTCTCACAGCCCCTTGTGGGTTCATTAATTCTCTAAAATGGCTCACAAAATTCATGAAGACTACTACCTATATTTACAGTTACCCATTTATCATAACCAGAAAGGATACAAGTGAAGAGACACATCAGGGAAGGTCTGGGAGAGTTCATGGCATGGGGCCTCCATTGTCCCCCTGGATGTGCCACACCCTCTCCCATGCATGGATGTTCTTACCAATCTAGAAAGCCTCCCAAAAAGGAAGCACCAAGGTCCAGGGTCCCATAGTCATTGAGGACCAATGATTATGTGTGACTCAATAAATATGCATGATTGACTGTTTCATGCCCACTCCCTCTCTGAGGTCTGTTGCCAGGGTGAGGTTGAGGGCTCCCAGTTCATTTGCACAGGTTTAAGCTGTTTAGGCTGTTTTAGAAAACAAAAGGCACCTTAATTGATAGAGAATTCCAAGGGCTATTTTCAGAAACCAGAGACAAAAGGCCAAACCAAGTTCTTTGTCCCATACACCTGGTCATATGCCAGATGTACTAATTTAAAACATCAGGGGCAGGAGGAAGGTCCAGTGGCGAGAACAGAGCAAGGAATGCCACATACGTATTTTTTAAAAACGCCACAGCTGCACACTGATTATTCCGCTGTGCAGGTAGGGATAGGGTTAGGAAGAATTACTTCAGCTTTGAGTCCTTTTTCAATTTCTTTTTAAATTAAAATTTACTCAGTACAGACTATGTGACAAGCAAGACACTTTATATGCATTGTCACTTAATTTCCAAATCAACCCTATGAAGTATTATTATCTCCACTTTACAAATGAAAAAAACTAAAGTACAAGGAGGTCGTTTAAGTTATTTGCCTCAAGTCACCCAGCTAGTGGAGCCAAGATTCAAAACCTAGGTAGTCAAATTTAGAGACTACTACTCTACTGCCTCCCTTGTTGTTGTTAGTTGCCATTGAGTCAGCGCCAACTCATAGCAACCTTATGTATAACAGAATGAAATGTTGCCCAGTCCTGTGCCATCCCCACAATCGTTGGTATCTTTGAGCTCACTGTTGTAGCTATTGTGTCAATCCATCTCACTGAGGGCTCTAAGGCAAACTCACCATTTTTACCCTAGTAGGGAAGCAGAGTATACCAGAGTATCTGAACTTGGGTCTTGGAATGGCCCTGAACCCCTAGGAACAAGACTCAAAATATGTATGTGCATGTTTCTGTGGAAAAGGTCTAGATATTTAATAGATTTTGAGAATACACCATACTCTAAAAGATTTTTTAAAAAAAACTTATTTATATTTAAAGAGCCCTGGTGGTGCAGTGGTTAAGCACTCGGCTGCTAACCAAAAGGTTGGCAGTTCGAACCCACCAGCCGCTCCACAGGAGAAAGATGTGGCAGTCTGCTTCCATAAAGATTAACAGCCTTGGAAGCTATACGGGGCGGTTATACTCTGTCCTATAGGGTCACTATGAGTCAGAATTGACTAGACAGCAAAAAGTATTTATATTTAAAACTTAAAATACTTAGTTGTAACCAAATATAATTAACTAAACTGAAAACTAAGTTGAAATGAGAATGTAAGAAAATTAAATCAGGTATTGTGAACTGAATCAACTACACAGAAGTTGATCTAATAATAATGGCTACCATGTATTGTTTATTATGACCTATGCAACATGTAGAGTCCTGGTGGCATAGTGGTTAAGAGTGCAGCTGCTAACCAAAATGTTGGCAGTTTGAATCCATCAGCCGCTCTTTGGAAACTCTATGTGGCAGTTCTACTCTGTCCTATAGGGTCGCTGTGAGTCGGAATCGACTCGACAACGGGTTTGGATTTTTTTGTTTTTAAGAATCCGATGACGTAGTTTCAGATAAGAAAATTAAGGCTCGAAAATCTTAGGAAACTTGTTCAGGTCACAGACAGTTAAGTGCAAGTACTCCTCGAATTACAAATGAGTTCTGTTCCTAAGTCTGTCTTTAAGTCCAGTTTGTACGGAAGTTGGAACAGTCAAGTACAGTTCGTATCTAATGTCAGTTAGTCAAGTGTTTGTCTTAGTACACAGTACAAGTATTTTATACCTTTCTATGTATTAAAAATATATATATATATACCAAAACATCTTTAACATAATAATACAGTAATAATAATAATGTTTTGAAGCACTTCGCAAAGTAGCACCTGTTTATTATTACGAACCGTTGTATGTACCTTGAATTTTTAATATAATAGGCTTTACGTGAGTTGGTTCAGAACTACGGGTTGTACTTAAGTTGGATGTTCATAACCCAGGGACTGCCTGTAGCAGTCAGGACTCTGATTCCAAAGCCCCATGCCTTCCTGCACTCCTCGTGTTTCAGCCTTATTGAAGGATGAAGGAGCACAAGCTTGTTATCATACAATGCTAGCTCTTGAAAAAAAAAGAAAGGCTACATAGTCAACCTCCCTCTGAGCAAATACTTGCATGGGATCTAAAAGTCACAGGCCCAGAAGGGGCTTACTGTTTAACTCAGCACCTTTAACTCCAAACAGCAAGTAGAGAATGCTATTAGTATAGAGATCGATACTACAAATTCCCAACAGCATGGTTTAATAGACAGCATGAGCTTTGGAATCAGAAAGATCTGGGTTCTAATCCTGACTCTATCACTTACCATGTCTTTGGCAAGTAACTTAACTTCCAAGTTTCTCTGCCAGTTAGTGCTTTTACCATCGGGCTCAAATGCTTCTAAGTATGGTGTTAAGAGTGTCGTTATTGTTATTGTTAGGTGCCATCGAGTCGGTTTGACTCATAGTGATCCTATGTACTACAGAACGAAAACACTGGCCAGTTCTCTGCCATGCTCACAATCGTTGTTATGCTTGAGCCCATTGTTGCAGCCACTGTGCCAATCCATCTCGTTGAGGATCTTCCTCTTCTTCACTGGCCCTCTACTTAACCAAGCATGATGTCCTTCTCCAGGGACTGATCCCTCCTGACATGTCCGAAGTATATAAGACGTAGTCTCATCATCCTTCCTTCTAAGGAGCATTCTTGTTGTACTTCTTCCAAGACAGATTTGTTTGTTCTTTTGGCAGTCCATGATACATTCAAAATTCTTTGCCAACACAATTCAAAGGCGTCAATTCTTCTTCAGTCTTCTTTCCTTATTCATCGTCCAGCTTTTGCATGCATACGATGTGACTGAAAATACCATGGCTTGGGTCAGGTGCACCTTAGCCTTCAAGGTGACATCTTTGCTTCTAAACACTTTAAAGAGATCTTTTGTAGCAGATTTGCCCAATGCAATGTATCTTTTGATTTCTCAACTGCTGCTTCCATGGGTGTTGATTGTGGATCCAAGTAAAATGAAATTCTTGACAACTTCAATCTTTTCTCCGTTTATCGTGATGTTGCTTATTGGTCCAGTTGTGAGGATTTTTCTTTTCTTTTTGTTGAGGTATAATCCAAAGGCTGTGGTCTTTGATCTTCATCAGCAAGTGCTTCAAGTCCTCTTCACTTTCAGCAAGCAAGGTTGTGTCATCTGCATATCACAGGTTGTTAATGAGTCTTCTTCCAAACCTGATGCACCATTCTTCTTCATATAGTCCAGCTGCTTGGATTATTTGCTCAATGTACAGATTGAATAGGTATAGTGAAAGGATACAACCCTGACACACACCTTTCCTGACTTTAAGCCACGCAGTATCCCCTTGTTCTGTCTGAACAACTGCCTCTTGATCTGTGTACAGGTTCCTCATGAGCACAATTAAGTGTTCTGGAATTCCCATTCTTCTCAATGTTATCCATAATTTGTTATGATCCACACAGTCG